CTCCGCCTCCGCAGCCATTCCCAGAGGGAACGACAAGTCCGGTTCTCCCCGAGGAGCCCCCACGTCCTGCGGAGCACGGCCAAGTCCAGGAGGGCCAGGAGCTGGGCGACCTGCCGGTTCCTCCCCAACCGTTGGGCGCCGGTGGCCAACGCGGCGGCGCCGAGCCGCAGGCAGAGCCTCAGGCTGCCCAGGAGCAGCATGAGGAGGAGGAGGAGGAGGGCGAAGAGCATCCAGAGCAGACGGAGGAAGAACCCTGCCCCGGTCCGTAGCCACCGGGCCACCTTCAGGACACCGTTTCGAGCCCGGTGGCCCCAACTCCTCGCCCGATCACCGGAGCAGAGCAGCCACCCCCCGGCCGCCCTGCGCGCTTGGGCTAGTAGCCCCCGGTAGCCGGTAGCCACCGCCGCCTCCTCCTCCTCTTCCTCCTCCTCCGTCCCGTCCCCGCGGCTCCTCTTCCTCACCGGGGGCTGCCGCCGGCCCTCCCCCTTCCCCAAGCGCTGCCGCTGCCGCCTCCGCGCCCTCCGGTTCTTCCCCGCTCCTTCCTCTTCCTCTCCCCCCCCACCCGGCACCGGAGGCTCCGGGGCGGCGGGGACGCGGCGGTGGCAGCTCAGGCTGCACGATCCCTCCCGCCTCTCGGGGCTCCGGGGAGCGGCCGGTTCCCCCCGGTAAGGGCAGGAGCAACCGGAGCCCGGGAAGGGTAAATCGGCGGCGTCCTCCAGGCCGCAGCTCCCGTTCCAAGCGGCGCTGCCCCCCCCGCCACTCCCGGGGGGCTCCGGGTTCCAACCGGGACCGTCGCTTCCTTCAAACGCGCCCGCTTCCCGGTACCGGGGCTGCTCCATCCCGGCGGCCCCGCTGGCCCCAACCGGGCTTAGGTCACGGCCATCCCGCCGGGCCCTGGGAACGACACCGGGAGTCAGCGCCGCCCCGACCGGCCCCGGGGACCCCCCCCGGTTCGGCCCCGGGACCCCCCCCACCGGCCCCGGGACCCCCCCGGCGCCGTCCCGAGGACCCCCCTGTCCCGGTCCCG